AGGGGAGAAAACATTAAAAATTAATTTTTAGTTGAAACATTCATATTGCAGAAGTGCTCTCTAAATTTTTTTTAAATGACCCAGTTAACAGTAACACTTACTTCAGGGATAGCTTTCTACCTGATCTGAAAAATTCCATCAGTTGGAGCCATGCTCTTAAACTTTTATTAGCGTGATGAGCATAAAGTTTATGATAAAAAAATTGAATTCAGGAAGATGTGTCACAAGGCGAAAAGGGAACAGAATACTTCAGGACAAAATATTTTCTATTTTCACTTATTTCTGAGCGGTTAAAAGTGTTGTGTTTATCTTCAGCAGATCTGTATCTTCCCTAAGCTAAGAAATAAATATGACTGGCAAATCTCACTATACCTATTCAATTAATTGAGTCATTAGCTGTCACTATCAACAGGCCTTGCAGACTTCTTACCTGGAACAGGCTTAACTGATAAAGCAACTTGCTTTCAGAAAATTTATTATCAAAGGTTTTGGTTTTGTTTTTAAATGAATAGAATTCTATAGATTCTCCCAGTTCTTTACTGTTCTATTTGGAGAAAATATACCGTGAGTTAAGAATAACTCCTAAAGGGATGGTCAACTCTAAATTCAAGGAAATTCAGTATGTAAGATAGAATAAAGCAGCAGGACTTCGTATTTAGAAAACCCAATGTATCACGAGTCTTCAGAACAGACTTTCAGAGCCCGAACGTTTGGCTGCTCAGAACAGCCAGGGAATTCCCGTGAAGTTCTGGGTATGAAGGAGAGGCAGAAACTCATTCTGGGAGCACAATTTTGTTAACATTTTGCTCCCTCTGATGGCTACCTGAAAGCAGTTCACAGATGGTGCAGGGATATGCACAAGCAAGATTTTAAAACCCTCTTTAACAAACAAGATGAATTTAAGGATAAGGCAGATAGAAGGCTATTAAACTAAACCAGCTCTCATCTCTCTCTAGTAATTTTGTTCCTTTTCCCTGAAGAACATGCTCTAAAGGCTAGCAGATATTCTGTCACTCACACAATCACTGATAGCTTGTTATCCACTATAAGGCCTCTGGAGCACATTCCAAGTCTTATCCTATTGACAATTTTATTTAGGATTATTTGGCTTAAATTGACACCTTGTAGAATCAGGCGTTCCCTTCCCAAACGAGTTTCTGAAATTGAGATATATCTAGCTTCTTTAAGGGAGGAATTAGCACGGGTTTAGGTTTCACATTCAGTCTCTCAAATGCAATTTTGGAGTTCATAGAAATACTAAACAGTATCATTTTGTTACAGTGACTAAGCTCCATCTGCTTTATTTGTTAATATGAGCTGCCAGTTTCATCTGAAACGTATCAGAGAATTTTTATGATAACCAAAGAGAACTGATTCACTGCTTTTAAGGTGGGGGGAAGCCCCAAATTCAGCCCTTTTCATCTTGTCTCTCCAGAAAAGAAGTGATGAATATCTTGAATTTGACTACAGGATTCTACTTCACGAAATGGTGTCCCAGGTAAAGTCTTATTTCAAAAAAGCCTTTTTTTAAGACTGCCAACTGCATAACCTCCAACTCAGACATGCAGATGGTAGGGCGTTCGCAGATCTGATGCCGGCAGGTCAGTTAACAAGTAAGGTGAGGTTAGGGCAACGCTCACTATCTGTTGCAGCGTTATGGGCTTCTGCCCCTATGCAGGCAGGACACAGCAGGTCTCCAATTTGTGTCAGCACACAGTGGTTTAGCACCGTGGTTTAGCTGTGTGGAATAGCACACAGCTATTTCTGGGCCCTTCTTGGGAATGGCAGAGGTTCAATATACTGGTCATTCACAGCTCTCTGCTCTTGGGAGATACTGTTGCCAAACTGGCCAGGGATAAAGGGAAGAAGCAGCTGCCAGCATCCTGGACTGCTTAACCGCATTCCAGCTGGAGCTGCAGAGTTCTTCTATGCTAGAGGACTAATTGCAGGACAAAGCATAGGTTAATGCTAACTAATTGCACGACAAAGCATAGGTTCTTCATTGTACTGTTTGGTGAAGGGCAGGTGTCACAAGATATCAATAACACTAACAGTAAGAGGGGTAATCCAACATAGGCATGCTTGAGCTGCAAAACTTGCCTAGATGAAAGAAAAATGTAGTTGCAGCAGCATGGAGCACAACACAGGCTGAAAAAAGCTTGCAGAACTTCAGATATTTGGATAGCTCAGCAGGACTGCATGTTCTCGTGCTTACCTTGCACTGTTACTGGTGCTTGATCAACCTACTTATAATCAGCCTGGGTATGGCTGTATTACAGCAGTCGATTCCTGTTCAGTATTGTTCAAAGAAAACACCTTCTCACTTTCTACAGTTTTATCTTCCACCCACAGGAGATCATTCCCTGGCAAATGACAGTTCTCTGGCACCCACACCATGGTGTTCAAGTAACACAGGACAGCCGTCAGCCAAAACATGCCTCGGAATAACGGACCACCTGACACCGCAATGGAAGAAGCTCAAATGCTACAATAAGCATTTGAAGGGAGGGCAGATAAGTTGATGAGGGTGGATACGCAATCAAGGTACGAAGAAAAAAGTCCTGCCTCAGTTAAACTTTTCCTGTACATTGTGCTTTGATCTGATAATCCAGAAGGCACTCTGTCTGCTACGTAATCAAATTCTGCATCAAAATAAATTTAAAAAACCACTGTTCCAGAATGAATACTTACGACACAGGCGCAGCTATGTTCTCCCTAAAGGCGACTTTCGGCTTTCCCATGGTGCAAGGGCAACTATATTCCCTTTCCATTCGCTGCAGAAAAAAAAACCCAGAATGAAATAAATAGAGCTGTTCCATTGGAACAATAGATTGGAAATTATTTTGTTTACAGATCTTTCTGAAATGAAAAACTTAATTAGGGTTAACCATTTTTTTGGTTTGGGGCTGGATTGATTTTTGGGGCCTTGGTGGGGTTTTTTGTTGGTTTGTTTTTGTGGTTTTTTTTTTTTAAATGTTACAAATTATTCACTGTCATTCTGCAGTCAACCTTGTTTAGGGCCTATAGCTTTAGATACAGGAAAAGGGAACAGCATTAATTATTTTACTCAACTAAGTTTTTCAAGACAAAAGCCATCTTTTCTTCATTCTGTCAACATTTCAGATACATCTACTGTGTTAGGCTAAAATATAGACATCAGCTTGAAAGAAACAAATAAATCACTGTAAGTAACTATTCCCTCCTGCCTGCGTCATCTCTTGTTATGGAATGATACATTTAAAAACACAGAAACAGAGTATTTCTCTCTCCTGTAGGAAATAGCTAATGGTAAAATTCATTATAAGCAAAGGCTGCTAAAGCAAAGCATAGTGCTTAATACAACATTTTTAATGGATTTGAACCAAAAAGTGAAAATATTCCAGGCAGAAGTTTCATTTAAATAGATTACAAACCTTCACAATAGAACCACTGGAGAGAAACAATCTTCAAAAGTTGACTAAGTCGCCAAGCTCTTCCCTAAGCAGCTAGCATTGTTCGCATTAACGCCATGGTGCCTTCTGCTAGGAAGATCTCAAAATAGTTGTCACACGATAACCCTGATTTACACTAAAGCAAGTGGAGTTGTACACCTCCAAACATCTTGTAAATTTGACGCGCACTTAGGCACCCAATTACAAAATCGGGCGTAAAGGCTGGCATCAGTTAGCCCGTCTGCAGGTACACTATGGTCTCAGCCAGAAAGGAAGGAGAATTCTTGGTTGGCAAAACAGTCGAAAGCAGAGTCCATGGTATCTGCTTTACAGATTACCTGGGCATAGATTTCCAAGTGCAGTTCCCCCATTCCAGAAACAATGGTCTCTTTGCTTTCATCGTCAAAATGGATTCTAAAAGTGGGATCTTCCCTTGTAAAGCGGTTCA